CAAGTTTTAAAACAGAAAACAAATGTATGGTTCAAACAAAAATGCACAATCAAGGTACATACTTACCACAATCCTACAACGACAACATGTAAACGAAACGAATCCTAAGTACAAAAATCATACAACAAATTCTAAAACAAAACAAGCTCAATCGTGAATCACACATAGTAAAAATTCATCGGTATATGAAGAACACACAAAAGTGAGGGACAAAAACACTCATCCACAATCTTACAAATAATAGACTAAATTATGCATTCATCCAAAAATTCATATTGAAAATACAAAGGCAAGAATTACAAGGGCTTTTCAAGGTTGTAATGTGGCTTGATTAACAAACAAAGGATAAATCCTAAGGCTAATCGAAACAAAAACTTGCCTAAACCTAAGGGAGTGATCAACTCACAAAGTTTAAAACAATAGAATTTCAATCAAACTTTTTCATAATCCTAAATTATCAAACCAAAACACAATACTTATTAACACAATATTATTCCATAATCTTTTTGTTTTTGTTTTTAAAAACTTTTTTTCTTCTTTTTTATTCTTCTCTTTTACTTTTCTTTTTCTCAACTTCATAGTAATACACACAAGAGAAAACAAATAATTCTCTCCCCAACTTGAATTCAACCAACATCATAATGTGAATGCTCTCTACTTTCTAAGGCAAGGAAAAAAATTCAAAATATAAATCATAGTCGAGGGTTCAAGAAAATAAAAAATCAATATTCATTCAAAAAGAAAAATCAAACACTCATAGACAAGCATCAAATTCAAAGATAACATGGAAATTTACAAAAAGGCTCAAAGGGGATACTAATGATCACACACTCACAAGGTGGAATGACTATTTAGCTAAGGTAGTTGTGCTCAAAATGAAACAAAAATGCCTTGATCACTTTCATGCATTCATATAATTAACACAAACAAAATATTAAACATAATAAAATCCAGTTAAAACAAGAATTGTGGCCTCCAGCATATATGAATAATGAAAAGCTTCCTCACATTTGCAGGTAAAAAGGGAACTAAAGTGATTCAAGTCATGAGCAAGTAATGTAAAAAGAAAGAATGATATGGTAATTATATAAATGAAAAGTTTCCTAAACATGTTATGCTATAGAATGTGATAAACGATTACCTGGTGTGTACCAACTTTAAAAACTATCATTACCATACATTTTCAAGTTGAATCAATCACAATCGAAAAATCACCTCAAAATTCTTCAAGTTACCTGACCAAAATTGAGTCCAAACAATCAACAAAAGAGTTAGAAAAAATAGAATTACACACATACGACTTTCCTCAAGCTAATAAGAGAAAGATTTTGGAAAAATCGTGCCAAAAGTGAATAAACAAGTTGAAAAGTGAAGATTTGTTATTTTAGAACAAGTCCAATTCAACTTGTTTAAACAACGATCAATGCATTACCTAAACTAACAAAATTGAAAAACAATAAAACATGATTGTTTTACGTCGTAAGCTCGACGCCTATTATTTACAAACCAATATGTTGCTTCGAATGAGTCAAATGCTTTTACTCCCACTTTGCTCTCATCTCTTCGAACTCTAACTGGAACTACACATCTAACCAAACTTTTGGCAAACGTGAAAAGAAACAAAAATTTACGAGTATAGGAAATATGTAACAATTTACAAGTTTGGTAAGCATATACATATAGATGTATAATTAAACCTAAACAAGTTCATTTATAATTTCTATACAACATATACATTAATTACAAAACTCAAAAATAAAGAAACTATCACAACGCGAAACAATAAACACCAATCCCCGAAACGACGCCATTTTGCTGAAGCGGTAAAATGACAAGCAAAAAGTAAATTATTATTTTACTGAGTGATAATTAGGTTATATCGTATCGTGTCCATAGAGATGCAATCTATAGATGCAACCGATAGATGCAACCTATTCGCCGCTTAAGCTAATTCCTTAAAAGGATTTCAAACACCCCAAGGTTCCTTGCAGAGATTTCAAACACTCCAAGGGATTTTTTGCTCGAGTAAATCCGATTGCAAACTATCAATACAAGATCACCGATTCTATAATATAATTCTTTCTACTTCTGTAAAAAGATTTCAACCACTCCAAGGTTCCTTGAAAAAAATTTCAAACACTCCAAGAAGTTTTTCACATGGACGATTTCTTCTCGCACGATCTTGCACGAAAACCCCCAATTCAACAAATGATGTTGGAGGACAAACCCGATGGTTTTTTCGGATGAAGAACCCTACAAAAACTCAACCTAAATACCAATTGGAAATCCATAATTTTTCGTCCAGATGGCACCCTGACGGAACATCATCACAATATAATGTTGATGTGTATGCATAGATTGGAAGATTGAAAAAGAAGAGATGAAGTAGGCTAATTGTATGGTATCATCAAGTTAGAAATGATGCATGAATGAGTATTTATAGTTTGGAAAAGTTTAGGGAAAAAAGGACAAATTTGAAATAAAAGAAAATGAAAATTTGACCAAAACATAATTTATGTGTCAACCTCAAAATCATATGTGTCACACATACTTTATAAAAAGGCTGCATGTATCGACTTGAAGGATTTTATGTGTCGACCTGAGCAAGTCAATAGCTACAGGCTTTAAAACATGAGTAAATATGTCGACCTGAAATATGGATGTGTTGACACATAAAATAAGAATTTCTGCAATTTTAGAAATCTTTCAGTATGTGTCGATCTGTATGATGCATGTGTCGACTTGTGACTTACGGAAGCTCACAGGCTTTAAAACGAAGTTACATGCGTCGACCTGAAACTCACATGTGTTGACACATGCAAGACAAAAACGTGCAGAAAGTGTTTTTCAATGAGTTTGGTCAATTTAAAAGTGCTTTTTGATGGTTCATAATACCTATGATGTAGAAGAGCGCCACAAGGTAAAGAGATACAATTAATTTTACCGTCGTAAAGAGATACAATGGTGTGAGTATGATGCATAATTGATGGTATTACCATGTGTCTGATGCGTAATTGATTGTATTACCATGTGTCTGACGCATCATACTCACACCTTCAAGCATCATAATACGCATCAGACATATGGTAATACTATCAATTAGCAATTATCACAAACACACATTCACAAAACATCAGTCAATAAAATCATCATGCAATGCCACATATAATGCAATGCAACTTCATTAGATTCATGAATGTGGTACCAAAACTTCACTGATGACACCGTCATCGTTTCTCCAAAGATCCCCACCAATAAGATTGATTCCCGCTTGGAACCCGAACACATCACCAATTGTACTCAATCCATACTATGAAATTGAGGTCATCACTGGACTATTCGTCCTACAAAATTCACTAGAACAACGTCCTGCAACCATCACTGGACTATGCCCTAACATATGCCATAAATGCATGATGCAAAACATCTTAATAACCAAATGACCATTGCTAGTAAAAACGCATCATCATTCACATAATCATCATAATATTAACACACATTACATAATGTAAAACAACATCATGATAGTATTAATAATTCATCGTATACACATACATCGTACCAAAACAATCACTGAATCATCTTATTCATCAAAGCATAGGTACTGAACATACACCTCCTACAACTCTTTTGATTCCACCAAGGTATAGTTTATTGTGTTAGCTCTCTAACGCTTTTAAGGGCGTGTCAATCAGAATTCTGAAACTCAAATTACGATGCTTTTAAAACCATACTGCTGTCCATCGCCTGATGCTCGCCCGATGATGCAGGATGCTTGTTTGAGGCTCACCCGACGATGAGGGAGCGACAACAACACCCTCATACAAAACTCTAGGGGCTCAAGCGACGTACCACCCCGTACAAAAATCCAGGGGCTATATTTTCCACCCCATCCCTTCACCCCTTGCTCGCCTGACGATGCTTGGGAGAAGTTCACTCGCCCGACAACGCACATCCATTGTCTGGCGATGCATCGCGAACATGACTTCCCTGTTGCGATCTCTGCACTGCACCAGTATCATTTTTACACGATTTCATCATATAACAAGTCTCAAATCTTCATAATTCCACTTGGTTTCATCAAATAATAACACCACAAATTATCATACACCATATGCATCAATTCTTTACGAGAAAACATCATAATTCCACCAATTCATCATCAAACATCAAAAAACATCATCAACCCCAAAACCTCAACACAACCTATAATTATCTAAACCTTAGATCAATTATAATAACAACGAAAAACCCTCTACCTTAGATTTCTCCTAGCAATTGATTTCTCTTCAGGTTCTATCAAAACCCCCTGAGTCCTTCCGTGTCCTAACTCTCTTCACAGTATTCTTTTGTTTTCACGATTGCACATAATGAGACTCTCTTCCCTTTATTCTATGTTTAATCTTTAGTCCCTTTCTATGGTATTCCCATCTTACCCTCACTTATTCCTTTACAATTTACCACTTTGTCCCCAATATCTTTACATCATATTTTATCTCTATTTAACTAATTAACATAATTTCAATTAATCATTCTAATTATCTAAATTATTTTAAAATACTATATACCTTCTTAATTCCTATCATCCCATCATAGATCACACAAAACATCATATCAAACATCATGATCATCCATACATCACATAAACATCACAATTATTAAATTAAGTTTTAATATAACTTTTGAACTCATTTCCATAAAAATATCCATCCAAGATAGTATCATAATATCGCGTCAACTTAGCATGTGATAATGGCACATATTTTTTGATCAACCTGACAGATATTTTTGATTAATTAAACGATAATGACAGATATAGTGAGAACGTTTTATGTCCTTATCTGATGGTCAACACTTAGCCATATAAGTGACATGTGTAAGTAAGCATGGAATCTTAACATAACATGTATGTATATTAAATTCAGCACATTAAACTAGAAAGACTATAAACTTGATTTACAATCACTTAAACACATCTGAAAGCAGAAGCAAACCCCAATATGTCTTTTGCTTGGACAGTGTTAGTAGTAGTTTTCCTCCTTCCTGGTGCTTACTGTTTCAGCAGAGATGAATTCCCTTCTCACTTTGTCTTTGGTGCATCAACCTCAGCCTACCAGGTTCCTTCTTCTCTCTGCAAAATATTTATGTAAATAGAACAATCTTGTTTGTCTATATGTGTATATATATTTTGAAATTTGAGTGTTGTGAAAGGTTGAAGGTGCAGCAGATAAAGATGGTAGGAAGCCAAGTATTTGGGATACTTTCAGTCATGCTGGAAATGGTATTGCTTGTTTTATTCAAACCGATTTTTTTACAATAAAGTACATTTATTACTCATATCAAAACAAAATATGTCAATAGAGATTACTCATAATTAGAATTTATGCAAATGAGTAACATGTTAGGCAGCTTTTTTTTAATGGAAAAATTTGACTTAGGAGACATAACATTGTTATGTATTGCAAGTGCATTTGAAGTCTCTATAAATGATCCATCGTCTTTAGTACTAGAAAACCAAATGCGTCCAAATAAATGGTACGAAAGCATGTTAATTAATGGAAACATGTTTTCTTATGTTTCACCAGTGTACTAGTTTTGAGGGCTACCTTTTTACGGTAAAATCTCATCAAGTGCGTGTTTCTCTTCTATCCAACTGTAACAATCGGCAAGTATCAATCTTCCATCCAGTGGGTCAGTCAAAAAGTTTAAAAATGTCTTTTTCTTCACAGTTACTTTGATCCGTTGAAATATATTAAATAAGCATCTCTAACAAAGTCACCGTGTTATTTGAAATCTGAAGCTTCTTATAATGAATCACATGTTTCTCAAAATGCATCCAAATACGTCTTGCGACAAACAAGACAGACCTATCAATAGGAAATAAGGGAGTCATAAGGCAATATCCGAGGATAATGCTTTAATGTGAATATAAATAACAAAGAGAAAATCTCAAGAATGTGTGATTTTGCTTGCAAACAAGCAAAAACTCTTTTTCGGTCTTGTGGTCGTGTCAAACTTTATGTTCATATTCCAAACACTTTTATTAAAATCGACATTCTTCAAAATTTGTTGTGCTTTAGGAGGGAGTGTTTTTGCTAGTAAAAAAAATTAAATAACTAAAATATTTTTTCAGGAAATATGTACCAAGGTAATGGAGATATTGCAAGTGACCAATATCACAAATATAAGGTTTGTAATTATATTGTATTCAGACTGAAATATGTTTTTGGTCCTCATAAATATTTCTTTTTCACTTTATCTCTCTCAAAAAATATTCTTCAAAGAATGGTCATTCTAAAAATTTTCATCCAAAATTTTGATCTCTCCTGCTAAGACCGTCGTTAAGACTGTCGCTAAGTAAAACCGTCGTTAATTCATAGCTAAAATTGTAGCTAAATTGCAAGAGGATTAAAAATGTGGACAAAACTTTAGGAGGACTATTCTTTAAAGAAAAAATTTTTGAAGGACTAAAATTGAATGTTGGCATATTTATGAGGACTCCGTATATATTTAACTCTTGTATTTATAATATCACAAATATAAGGTCCGTAAGTATATTGTATTTTTCACCTAAAAAATTAGTTTGCATTAAGAGAATATTAGAACTTGAATTTTCCAGGAAGATGTGCAACTCATGGCCAATATGGGTTTAGATGCCTATAGATTTTCAATATCATGGTCAAGACTTATTCCAGGTAAAATCATCAAAAGTTTGATTATACCAAACTCAACTTCATTCTAAATTTGTCTAACATTATCTTGTTATCATGTGTTACCAGATGGAAAAGGGCCTGTCAATCCTAAAGGATTACAGTATTACAACAATGTTATCAATGAACTCATAAGCCACGGTTGTTGTGAAAACTACATTTTCCTTTTAGAGTATTTTGATTAACACCTAAGTAAGGTTCCTCCAATGTTGATATACATTTATTCTTTGTGCATGGATGTTTCCGCGTCACATCTTGCAGGAATCCAACCACATGTTACGTTACACCATTGGGATCTACCACAAACACTTGAGGATGAATACGGAGGATGGGTTAATCGAAGCATCGTGTATGATTCCCATACTTTAAGTCTCTATTTGTGTTACCGTCCCTGGTCCATATTTTGACTTTATACGTGTTTATTATATATGCTTGTAGGAAAGATTTCACAGCATATGTGGATGTGTGCTTCAAAGAGTTTGGTGATAGAGTTAAGTATTGGACCACAGTGAATGAGGGAAATGTGTATGCAATGTTTGGCTATGATATTGGAATCTTACCACCTCAGAGATGTTCTCCATCCTTTATAGCTAATTGCTCAAAGGGAAATTCTTCAACTGAGCCATATTTGGCAGCTCATCATATGTTGCTAGCACATGCTTCAGCTGCAAGATTGTATAGGACAAAATATAAGGTAAAATTAGTGTTTATTTTTGAATGGTCTTTATTATGTTAATAAAATCATCTTTATTATGTGCAGAGCATGCAACATGGTTTTATTGGGTTTAATATTCTTGCTTTTGGTTATGTTCCAATTACAAATACTAGTGGAGATATAATTGCGGCTCAAAGAGCCCGAGATTTCATGATGGGGTGGTAAGTATATGTAATAAATTGTTAGCTTGTTTCGCAAGTAAGGTTTATAAAAGTATGTTGACAACAATGATCAATCTCTTGATTACTTTTTTGCGTCGCACATACGAATCATGCAAATTAAGCTTTGTCTATAATTTTTGTAATGCAGGTTTCTAAACCCATTGACATTTGGTGATTATCCTGATATAATGAAAAGAAATGTTGGTTCAAGACTTCCTTCCTTCACCAAAAAGGAATCGAATCTCGTCAAAGGATCAATTGATTTTTTAGGAATAAACTTTTACTACTCATTTTATGTTAAGAATAAACCTGACAAACAACACATAGAGGATAGAGATTATAGGGCAGATATGGAAGTTGAAACTATAGGTATGGCTTTATTAAGTTGTTTCATTCACATTTTCTAATGTCATAGCCAACTCTATATCGTCCTTATCGAATAAGATCAGACAGTTTATAGAAAACTGTATAAACTGTTTGATCTTTGATACACGAGCACATGAGATTGTGACCGCAAATAACTCGTTCAAAATCATCTATAATGTGAATCTGAACAAAAACAACTAACTAATTTTCTTTTCTGGTTTTAGATCTTATACCAAATGATACTTCTATATATGAGGTAACATCCCAAGTTGTTTCTCTATTCAATTCTTCCTATATTTTGTAAAGATGAACCTTCCATATTGCTCCCTAACCAATTGGTTGGTTTAGGTTCCGATTACAACATGGATTTTGCAAGATGTGCTAGACTCGGTGAAGAACGATTATGGAGATTTTCCAATTTACATACACGAAAATGGTATGACATTTTCCAATTTATGGTGATCAAAATATTTGCATGGTAATAAATGTTTGAGTTTTGCAGGCCAAAAAACATTCAGTAATTCATCATTAGATGATTGGTCTAGGGTGAAGTACTTGCATGAATACATTGGAAGCATGGCTAATGCACTAAGGTACTTGTAATTTGATTTTCAACAATACTAATAAAATTCTCAATAGTTATTTTAAGTGGTTATCAATTTATTTCTCTTTTTTTTTGACATATTGAAAGGAGTGGATCAAATGTAAAAGGTTATTTTGTATGGAGCTTGTTGGATTCATTCGAAATATTGGGTGGATATGAAATAAGTTATGGCTTATATTATGTTGATATGAAGGATCCTAATTTGAAGAGACAACCTAAACTCTCTGCTGAGTGGTATGCAAATTTTCTTAAGGGGAAACCTATGGATCCAAAGGTTATGATTAAGATTGAGAAGAATCCACTTTTGCCTTCACACACATTCTTCCTGCATAATGCCAAGTAGTCTTTTGTACTTTGGTTTGGATTCAGATTTTGATATTCTGTGCTACTACATGAAAGAATAAAATAGACATAGAGCAAACGTAATAGATTTTTATATACTCATTCAATGACTGGTTGCTACTACAACAAGTATTAAAGAAGGCTACTCTCTAAATTATAGGGCTGGACACCGGGTCGGTTTAGATTTTTATGTCAATGTGACATTTATAAGAACAATAGCTTTATGTATTTTTTCATGTGATATTATAGTATTCTCCTTTTTAAAACATGTATTAAAGAAGCCTCCTCTCTAAAATAGATTGGGCTAATATGCACTTTTGATCCAAACAAAATTATAGAGAATTAGTAATGTCACACTCACACTAAGAGGTGGAAAAACATTATGAAAATTCAAAATTGTTCCTCAGATTTCAGAGATGTATTTTCGGACACATCCTTTTCTTTCTTAAATAACTTTTCAAATGAGTGCTATTCCATTTTTTCAAAAGTTTATTTTAGAGATATATCTTCGGGAAAATCCAATCAGTTTATTGATTATTGAGCATCGAGTGAATTTTCTGGACATGCATTTTTGGAGTTTTGATGCGGGAATTTGAAAACCTGTCACCTTTACATGTCAGTCATTTCTGGAGATGTGTTTTAGAAAATATCAAACATGATTCTTAATAAAACAACCACTTGTATGATGAGACTCCATACCCATTTTTGCTCAAAATTTTTTCAAAAAATCATTCCATTTTAAATCAAGATTTTCACTCGAAACCTTCTTTCTTGTGTTTCATCACATCAAAAGGAACAAAATAAGTTGAAATTCACTGTAAAGATCGTTTATTTCAAGGCACATTGTTCACATTAATCTTGTTTTGTTGCTAAAAACTTCGGATTTTGTATGAATTCATCTAAAAAGGCATTTCCGGAGAATGTCTATTTTCATTTAACACCAATTTGTTTTCAATTTCATTCTTTTTGAACATTTTATGTTATTGTTTTTCATTGGATATGACGCACTCCGATGTTTTCTCCAAACATATTCTGTCTCTGAATGCCAAACGTGTTGTTATGAAGGAAGTAGATATTGACAACCAATTTACAAACAAACAAGAGTTTGAATTTCATGATCATATGCTTCAATGAATTTGTACATATGCAACCAAATTAGGAGTTGAAATTGTAATTGAAAGGTCTAATAATGACTTAAATAGAAGAGTTTCATTTGCGACAATGACATGCAAAAGAAGTAGGAAGTATATAACCCCTCTCCGAAAATTTAAATGAGATAACACCAGTTCAAGAAAATTTGAGTGTCTGTTTAAATTGTGTAGTTATCTGCTGACAAATAACAAATGAAAATTTAATGTGATATGAATTACATAACCATGACATGTGTGAAAAGTTAGTTGGGTATCCAATTGCATGTCACCTCATGCCAGAAGAGAAGGAATATGTTTCAGACATGACATTGAATATGGTGCAACCTAAAAAACATACTTGCAACTTTGAAACGTAAAAGAGCCAAAAACATCTTAAATATCAGACATGTATAAAATATCCGAGCCCTTAATAACACGATGTTGAGGGGGAATAGAACTGAAATGGAATAACTCTTGAAACATTTGGATGATAACAATAATATATCTAGGCACTCATAAGTGCAAAAGTATAGTTATTTTATATATATTTTTTGTTGCACTTATCGACTCTTGGTTGTTAATATCAGTTGAATAACCTAACTTTGTGTATAAATATGTTTAGTTTATGTACAATGCATTTTCATGTATAAAGTGTATCATTTAATTTTTTCCATTCATTTTGTAGGTATTGATGTGTATTTGGAGCATGAGCAATAAAGTATCGAAGACACGACTTCAAACGCGCGATTTTGAGCAACTAGTCAATGAATAAGGCTCAAAATCAAAGAATAGTAAATCATAAATTTGGTTTATATTTTGTCATTTTAGAAAGAGTATTGAATAAGCTTTCCAATGCTTCGAACCGGGCGCGAATCAGAGTTACGATTCAAAAGTTATGGCCAAAATAGTGCAGAATGTTGTGTTGATTTTTTAACCTTCTGTCATCCATCTCCGGGCGACGTTTTTGGTCGCTGAGTGACGCTAGGCGAGCTGTAGCATGGAAAAGACGCTGTTTTGGTCGCCGGACGATGCTTTTTGATCATCGGGCGATTCTGGACAGTCAGAAGTGCGTATTTAGGTGTAAAAACACATTTTTTGGGTATGGTTTTGAGTATTTTTGATTCCAACTCCATCATCCTTTATTTTTGAATAGGATTAGTTTAGAAAACAACATTGAAGCTTGCATACGGATGATCCAGCGTGGATTGCTCATCAATCGATGCTGACAAACTGGTAGATTTGTGGCTCATTTCTCTCCCTCTTTGTGTATTCTTTATGTGTTGAGTTTGTACATGTATTTACTCTGAACTTATGTATATTTGTCGCCCATGGCGTTATATTAAACTTGCTTTACAAATATTTATCGATTATTATCTTAGATTTTTGCTCTATGCTAGAGATTTGAGTTTTTATAGACATATACTACTTAGATTCTTATATGTTAGTTTCTGAATTCTAGAGATAGATTTAGAGCTGACATCTACTTGGGTATCAGAGCTTAATGCCTCTGTGTGATTGTACTGTGCTGACAGATCGTCAGTGCGATTACATAGCTGTCTTGTGTGTTGTTAAGGAGGTAGAGATATCACTTATGAGATGATATATTTGGTCTCTCAATTTGGGTTAGAAATGACTTAGGTTATGAGTGATACGTGGTGACATTGATGAGTATTGTTAGGTTGAATGTAACTGGTCGATAGATTTAAGTCTGTGATAAGTAGATTATATGTAGGCTTGATAAGTTCTTCCATAGTTTTTACTTTTGTTTACATTTATTTTCTGTTGATAATATTTTCCATACAAAAACCCATTTAAAACCAAACTCATTAACGGGAGTGTGATACGGTGGGAGAACTAACTTGAGGTTTTGCGTTTGATCGCAAATGTTGCGGTTAGCAAGAGTCGCCACCGACTTTTCTTTTATCCAAAAGGAAAGGTGAAAAAGCACAGGAAAGACCTTTGAGACTGTTTCTTGAGTCTGGAGGGTAGATTATGAAAAGGGAATGTATTAGCACCCTTTTCATCCATGGTTTTCCATGGGCTCTTAGTTACTTGCTAGATCACTTGCTTTTGTTTGAAATTGTGCTTTGTGTGGTTTTTGAAAGTATTTTGTAAAGAGGCCATTGTTTAGGCAACCTTTTTAATGATTCTCGTTCGTAAGAATGTATACAAAGATGTTGATCTTTTGAAAATATTTTCAAGTTTGTAAGATGTTTTGAAAGTGTAGGTGATTATTTTTAAAAATAGCAAGGATGTTTGTTTTGAAATTGAGCAAGTAATTAGGAGCAATCTACCTACTCAGATGTCTTTCTTGTTCATTTTCTTTTCCTTTGACATTGTTGTCTTACCATTGATTTGGTAAGCAACCCTATCTTTGGATGTAAACGGGACGGACGTGGGTCATCGTATAACCATGATTAACAATGTTGCAAGGTATCTTAGCATTATTTTTGAGGGAATAAGATCATTTGTAAGGCAACTTAGATAGCGTCATTGAGGGACTATGATCTTGTATTTGCTTGTTTTTGCTAAGATACCTTACATGCGTAATATGACCATTTTGTATAAGGCAACCAAGTGGAATAACCCTAGGGGTGCTTGTGTGCAAGTGTATTGTTTTCATGCTTGTTTTTTTGTCTTGAATTAGGGTTTTCTAAGTATTGATTTTACTGTTTCCATACAAACCCTAATTACTAGCATGTTATATAAAAGCGATAAATTGCGAAATTTAAAGTTACTACGCTATTACAATATTTATGGGGAGGGTATACAAATTCATGAATGGGGATTGTAAGAATTTAAACCTAATTAGTCTATTACAATCATATTGAATTGATATCAATGTACAAGGAAATAAATAAATGCAAAGTACAAAATGAATGAATGTACAAAAAATGAAAAAATGTAAAGAAAATGTATCTTTGTTTGATTTTCATGAAAAAAAAGGATTTTAGCTTAACCTAATTAAATAAAGAAAATAATTAATTAAATTTGAATTTTATTAAGAAAGGATTTTAAATAAAATCCTAGTTCTATTAATTAATTAAAAGAAAATAAGTTTAAGAAAAGTATTTTTGATATTTTTATCTTAAAAATATTTATAGTATTATAAAATATTTTGGCCTTTTTTAATATTAAAAATAATGTATTTTAAATGGTGTGAAAAATAAATAAATAAAAAAAACAAAATGTTAATTAAGTTTACAAGATTATTTAGTAAAATAAATAAAGTATAATAAATAAAGATATTTTTTTTTGTGAGAAAAATAAAATAAAATAAAATATGTCAAAATATAAATCTATCATTTTTTTTGTATTTTATGATTTTTTTAGTATTTAGAAAATATATTTAAGAAAAATAAAAGTAAAAATAAAAAATAAAATAAATAAATTTGGGCTAGGGGTGTCAATGGAAAACAAGGGGTTAACTAGTAGAAATAAAAAAATAAGCCAGGCCCAAAGAGGCCCAGCGCCCTGCAAACAAAAAAAAGTCAAAATTGTAAAACATGTAAAAAATGCAAAAGGGTACCACTGGGGCTCGATCCCAGGTCACATAGGTTACAGACGTGCGCTTCTACAACTGAGGTGGCTATACATCCGTTAACATAAGTAAAACAATAAATATGTAAGGCAAAACGCGCCCTGAAGACTTCATCTTAAACCTCCAGCCAGACCAACTGTAACTTACTCATTTCTCATCAAAAATGAAAATTATAAACATGAAACTTGTAGCAAATTTTCTCACGATTCCAGAAATGTAAAGTATTAAAACTATAGATCAAAGATAAGCATGAATTTTAATGACCCTAATTTGAACCTTAAAAATTTCAGAAGTTTCAGTTTCAAAATTCTCTAAGCTCAAGCAAAATTA